AAAAATGATAAATAAACTAAGTGCTATTTAGAATAGCAAAACAATTTCCTCCAATAGGTTAGAATAAGTCTGTCTAATTAGTAAAATAATACTTAAGTATTGATGGATTTAAGGCATACTTATGGTTTCCATCATTTTTATTAACAGAAAAATACAGAAAAGTATAAAAATATTGTTCCTTTTCAACTACATTAATTTATTGAAGTTGCTTGATCTTGTTTTCGCAACATGGTCATATTGGTAGGAAGATCTAGATAAACGCACCTAGTTTGGAGTCCATTATATGAAAGATAATTTACACAGTTGGAACGTGGACGTAGTACATTCCCAGACGTTTAGCCGAAGTCGTAGTCAGCATCGTCAGCGATCTTTTTCAGTCTTATCAGCACACTACAACTCGTCAAAGAGACAAGTGAAGCCGATCCTTTGACAAATTATATGCTAAATATTCGTGTTATCTCTCCTTCCACCTTGGACTAATCACCAGTCCTATATCCTCGTATAACACCTTCAGCATCACAATTTCTTGCTTGCTTATTTAAATGTGGTATCATGTATCCTTATGAGCGGCTTTCATGAGAACTCTCCACACCACAGGTCGGCATTCTCACCCCCTCATCCCCCTTCACCCTTGTTCTGGGAATGTTGATCAGAGTCTGCCATATAGTTACGCAGTCCTCCTTCCCTAGGTCTTATCAGAGTCTCTCTCTTGCTCCGTAAGATCTTTTTTTAACTCCCTCGACCCCTGCCAGCCCATCTCTGCTACTCAAGGCCTTATTTTCCACGCTCTGCCTTGGGAGAATAACTTGAGGCTAAAGACCCCGAGTAATTCTCATGGCCAAGCCTCGCTTCATGAACCACTTCAATGGTAAGACAGGCCTACTGCCAGCCAATTAGCTCAGGACTTCGCCGCGTTTATCCCGTTTCTATCCGTAATAAGACGGATATGCATCCTATGCCCTAATCTCTTGCGTGCCAACCCACAAATGATGTGGTTCTACATTAAACCTAATCACAACAAGTATAACAAGGGTCGAGTGAAAAACCTGAACCATGGAGATAGCAAACAGACCCTACGGGGCGAGAGGGAGACTCTGATAAGACCTAGAGAAGGAGGACTGAGTAACAATATGACAGACTATGATCAAAATTCCCGGCACAAGAATGAAGGAGAGTGAGCGGGATGAGAATTCCAGCGTGGAGTGTGAGAGTTCCCATGAAAACCGCTCAAAAGGGCACACCATATCACAATCAAGTAAGCAAGCAAGAAATTGTGATAGTGAAGGTGTGATACGAGGATATAGGATTGATGAATAGCCCAGAGCGAAAAGAGAGATACCACGATTTTTTAGCAGACAATTGGTCAAAATATCGGCTTCACATGTCTTTTGGACGAGTTCTAGTTTGGGTGCTAAGACTGGCAAAGTTTACTGACGATGCCGACTACGAATTCGGCGAAACGAAATGTACCACGTCTACGGTCCGACTGTGGAAATTATCATTCATATAATTGACTAGGTGCCTTCTTCTAGGTCTTCCTACCAATTTGACCAAGTTGCGAAAATAAGGTCAAACAACTTCTATACAACCAAAGAAGACTGTGACCATACAAAAAGCCACACCATCTTGGTCTTCATACGTTATTTTATGTTTATCATTTGAATAGTAGCTCAATATTTTTTGTTCCTGGAATAAAAAGAAAGTTATAGCCGGATAGAGAAGACAATTAAGGTAATTCATGGCATTCGAGCTTTTCTAATTGTTTAAAACGTCAGGTATCGCTCTTGAATTTTGCTGCTTAATAGGGAACCGCCAATCTGACACCTTTAATTAAATCTATTAACATTTTTCAATTCAGAAACCATATGAAACCAGAGAAAGCGAGGAGAGTAAGCTAATAATTAAAGTCGATTAAAATAATTCCAGGCTTAAGCGGGATCTAGACAGGATTATTACTTCAGAAGATTTTCAAAAATCCAGAGGCATGAATGACCATAAATCACAAGGGGATTTGATAGAAAAGAGAAGTGATAAGAGAGTGCTTATATATAGGATCATAAGACAGTGCAAGATCCAGCTAGCCTGCACAAGTCATGCGGTTTTATTAGTGACGGCACTTATTGCTTCAACTAGGTTGGAATAAGGTTGTACATTTAACTTTCATTCTGAAACCACGGAAAAAGGATTAAAGTTTTGCATTAGTAACTAAACAAACTTATTAAAAGATAAGATTCTTGTGTAGATAGTGGATGCTTAGGAAAAATACTCAATAGAGATTGGAAATGTAAATGAGCCTGCGAATCGCTGCACATCAAAGCCCATAAATAGCCCATAAACCAATATTTCTATTTTTCCCGTCGAATGTTTTCGATCCTATGAGAAAATTCAAATGAATTCCTCACGGTGCTTAATAAACTATAGTTTACCTTCTTAAGCTTCAAGCATGTAAATTTCGCCGGTTTGTGTCGCTATATGATTGTTGCTGGCTCTTAGCCATAGTAGTTCTCTTACTTTATGTATCTTTGGTGGTCTATAGGCCATCTAGGTCCTTATATTCAATTTCCCTGTCAACATGTATTTCCTTCAACAGCTTCTTCAATATTGCAAAAGTATTTATATGTGATCCCACCAAATTATTGTTTTCAACTAAGATCTTGCTTAGCCTTTCTAACACTTGATCCTGGCTATGTTCATTAGACAAAGTCACCTTACTATCATTTATTTCACAAGTCCTAAATTAAGATCTAGTGTATAGGGGCCTCTAAAAGGCCTAGTGCAGAAAAAACTATTTGGCCCAAAAGAAGTATATATAAGGAAAAGCTGGGTTTCGAAGAATATATGTACATATATCAAAGCATAACAAGTTGCTAAGGTCAAAAGTTTTGAATATTAGAACTAGTGAACTAATTGATGTGTTAGCTGTGGCGCTAAAAGTGGCGTCCAGAAGCGACGCCAGGACCGTGTATACACATGGTCGAAAGAAAAAAATAAAAGCACTCCTTCAACAACTAAGCATACGTGCATGCGTAAACATATGTAATTGCATTAGCAAATATTCTAGCCTCTACAAAAAGCTTGCTACACCGTGCTTCAGTGCTGGGAGTCCAGATGAACTTGTTGTTCGTGCCTAACAAAGTAAACGAGACGAATGGCCAAAACTCCTGCTCACATCTAAACTTGAGCAATGATAAGGAGACCTAGATGGTGTGGCCTTAGGCTTGGTGGCAGTCTGCTTTAGCTGTATAGTGCTAGTTTGACTTCGTTTGCGCAACTTGGCCGGAGCGATAAGGATGTCTTGTGAAGCATACTCAGCCCTGCGTCTTCTCCCATAATATTAATGATAATTGGAATCTACCAAGTCTCCGGTCCGATGCTAGAAACCGTAATGAATATAATGACAGAGTACGCAGGACTAGGCATGTTCTACCACATTTCTGAATAGCTCTGACGAAGTTGTGAAAAAGTGGTAAAACCAAAAATAAACTTAGTAAACTGGAACTAGAATATGAATAATCAGGATAATCAAGAATAAGTGGAGCTAAGTTAGTAATTTTCGCCGAGAATTTTGGGGCAAGAGACAGTGTAAACTCAATGTACTGACTTCTGAGGGCGTAAGAATTAAAAAACCACTCACCATTGGCGACAGTGCTAGAGGAGAATCTAGAAGAACGCGATGTGGACGAAGACATTATGTTGCTGCCCGTGCCTCCCCCACTTCCTTTACTAAGCATACCGTCGCTGCTCAGGCTAGGAAAACCGGTGCCCATGTCATCACCGGAGAGTAGACTCCTCCCCTCACGGCCGCCAAAGAGAGACATGGAATTCATCTCCTCGCGCATTTTGGCCATACGCCGCTCCATTTGCGCCATCATCTGAGTTGTGCTTGGCAATCCGCCTCCAAAAGTGGAGCTCTCGACAGATGGCCTCCAATTATCCATATGGAAGTCATCCATTGGCTTAAGTCGATTTTGTTGATTTGTAGGTGATTGTGTGTGTGTGTGTGTGTGTGTGTGCGTGTGTGTGTGTAATTAGATAAGGATAAAGAGGAAATAATGATTGTAATTTTTTTTCATAATGGGGGAAAAACAGAGCTCGTGATGTTTAAGGTGGTTTAAGAGCAGGCCATGAAGGAAAAAAGATAGGGAATGAACCATCAGATAGGATTTTGCAGAAATATAAGTATAAAATGCGGTTTTCGAAGAATCTCCTGAGATAAGATTGATGTGAAAGATTTCATTTTTTCTGGCGAAATTGACCTATAAATTTATTTATCATGTACTTCCATACGAAATGAAAGTCTTCACATAAAAAATATCAGACTTGAAATGTTAATTTATTAATTTTTTCACTAAAAGTATTCACGTCTTGTGAAAAAGTATTATTGAGTTATGTTTGAATTATATACATTAGCAGGGAAGATTGTAACCATTACATAATTTGTCACAATCGTCGACAGCAAGCCAAGAAAGAGGCGAAGTACTTACGTTCGGAAGTATGACCAGCAGATTAATAACATTCATTATTAAACTAAGAAGTTGTTAGAGCAATTCGTTGAAGCGCAATATTAAATGAAACCCCACTGTCCACGTGGAATCTTTGCCAGATGTGCTGAGATGAGATTAGTTGGGTGATTTTAGAAAGTATCTGCAAATCTACATAACAAGTCGCTTATATGATCCAAAGTTTTATCGACTCAGCCCCAAGGTCACATCGGAATTTGAGCTGTGTAAGCATCTAAAAATGTGTTGCAACTTGACGGCTTCGCATCTGGTTGAGGGTGCTGATGAGACCGATGTGAGGTTAAATAGCTCCGTGAGTTCTACTTATATAATTATGGGAAGATTCAATTATCCCTCCTTAAGTCATCTTAAGCGGCCTAAAGTAAGTAAGATCTTATCTACTGAAATTCAATTATGGCAGTCAAGCATACGCACGAACATGTGGCGAATACCAGACACAGCAGTCAAAGGAGAGAGTCAGGCAAATTCAGAGTGGATGAGGTGATAAGCTAGGGATAAGAATATATAATTTTATATTCCAGACTCAACAGTTCGCGTCTGCTCTGACGCAAAATATGAGGACCACCACCCAAACAGAGCTGCCCTTTTCACAGTTAATGCAGCCAAATGGAACTAAGGGCTAATTCATCACAACGATATTAGCCAGTTTATTAAGAAACCAACGAACAAAGTGAATGCCACTCATAAGTTTTTAAGCAAAAGCCATCTTGGCCGGTAAATACCTATTGTATAAATATGCAATCTGACCCAAAGATTCAGAAGTGTATATATGGAAAAGTTGGGTTTCGAAAAATCGCTTAGTGCAGTGGTTCCCAAACTTTTCTACCCGCGGCGCCCTTTTTCAATTAGAATTCTTCCATGGCGCCCTACCCTAAGTATGACTATTCGTAAGTAAGAGATGAAAATAAATAAAACTCGTGTATCTTCATTATTTTTTTTTACTTTATTGACATTAAATTAATATTTAATAATTAATATAATGGATGAGCTTGCAAATCACTGCACATTTTCTCAAATTAAGGCTTTTACAATATTTGGCGGCGTCCCTGTTTGGGAATCACTGGCTTAGTGAATTGATGTGAACTAGACTTTTGATTTCGAAGAAATAGGTTATTTGTGAATTCGTGAATTGGTCTCACCAGAAACCGAGAAAGCATTACCTTAGAGTGTGGATGATTGGATAGTGCGAAGAAATCATCGACTCACCGTCCTCGATCATGATGAAGCCATGCTACGCCTTAGATTAAGGACCTTATAAGTTTTAAATTGAAAATTATTACGAGATGTATGCGCCCTATTTCGTTCAAGGTGATGAAGGATTGGTAGTTAAATTTTTCCATTAGATTTCACATAGCCTTGCCTTACCAAAAGATGTTCTCATCCAGGGTGGACTGTAGTTTCGATCTCGCCTAGGTCTTATCAACACTCCCAGTTCAAGGTGTAATCTCGACATGTTACCCACAAATATAATTAATTTGCAGGTAGTCTCGAGGCCCTACTTATGAACGAAGATTAAGTAATGTAGTCGATTACCTAAGCAAATCTAATTTTGCTTCATCGACGAATAATATGATATGGGAAAATGCCTAGCCTTCCTTGAAACTCACATCTGCCCAAGAGCACTCGTGGCTGTGTCGAGATTACACGCTGTCTATATTAGCTAATAATTACTAGCTCAATTATAAACTCATTTATTTCAATAAGCATTTGCGTATATAGGCGATTAATTTTCTGTTCGACAACAAGGCAAGGGCAGATTGAAGGAATTCAGTGAGCCAACGAAGGGATGAGCAGACGACTGAATTTACCGTAAAGTTATAAAATGAAAAAAAGCAGAAATTCCTCGTTCTAGTAGTAACATAAGGCAATAATTTTGGTATAGACGTGTGGATGAACTCCACATACGCGGCTTTCTTTATCTTATTTAATCATGCAATTAGGGTTAAAGTAGGAATTGAGAAATATATGAAAGGGAGTCGGTTTATATTTAAGTTCATATATATAAAGTCTATATTAAGGAAGGATCTAGACAGGGTTCTCACTCCAGATGCTTTTCAAAAAATCCAGAGTATGACTGACCAGAAATCACGAAGGTTCCAGGATTTGAGAAATAAGCAGCGTGACAAGAAATTGATTAGATATGGGATAATTAGACAGCGCAAGATTCACCCAACCCGATCAAATCATGAAGTTCTGATATTAATAGCATCCACTTCTCTCAAGGACGTTGGGGATAAGGTAGTGAACTGATCCTCAATCCCTCTTGATTCCTAAACATTGGATCTGAAGGAATTAAATCGGTAACGAAGGGAGGATTTTAGAAGATATTCCTGTAGAACTTATCAACATCTCGGAGAAATACCTAGAAGAGATAAAACAGGAAATGGAAATGAGATAAATTCCGAAAATCCTGTCCCATCAAGAACCAACGAAAAGGAGTGGACTAATGAAGATACGTATAAAATTACAAATGACGGCAAAATATTTCTTGAGACGGATAATCGAGGTGCGACGATGATAATGGATAAGCAACAATACATGGAGAAAATGGAAAGTATACTAGGCGACCGGAACTCTTATCAAATACTAAGAAAGGATCCAACAATGAAGATCAACGGAATATTGAAAGAAATGTTAAAGTAAATGCATAACGGAGAAATTGACAGATGGATGATGAATTCATTAATAAAAAATGACTCAAGACCACCGACAGCCTACTGACTACCGAAGATACACAAGAAAGGAAAACCACTAAGATAAAAGGCAACAACAAACATGGAGCAACACACTAACTAGCGAAAGTAATATGCTTAAAGCTTAAGAAAGAAAACGACAGACTTCTAAACACTGAAAAGAATTCATGTGAATTTTCCCAAAGGATCCAAAATATTGGACTGGCGAAGACGGAAAAATTGGTAAATTTTGACGTACAATCCATGTTTATAAACATGGCTATATTGGTAGGAAGACTTAGAAGAACCCACATAATCCAGAGTACATTGTATGAAAGATGATTTCCAGAATCGGACTGTGAACGTGATACATTCCTAGACATTTCACCGGCATCTTAGTCGGCATCGTCAGTGAGAATTGACATTCTTAACACCACACTACAACTCGTCAAAGACAAGTGAAGACGATTCTTTAACCAACTGTCTATTAAACAATCGTGGCATCTCTTCTTTCGCTCCGGGATTATCACCAATCCTATATCCTCGTATCACGCCTTCAGTATCACAATTTTTACTTGCTTTTTTAAATGTGGTATGGTGTGCCCTTTTGAGCGGCTTTCACGATAACTCTCCACACACAATGTCGGCTTTCTGACCCCCTCAACCCCCTTCACTCTTGTGCTGGGAATGTTGATAAGTTTGACATGTTGTTTTGATGTCTTCCTTCCCTATGCTTTATCAGAGTCTCTATCTTGCTCTGTAGGATCTTTCTTATATCTCCTTAGTACAAGTATTTCACTCGACTTCTGCCACTCCACCTCTGCCACTCGAGAGGTTATTTTTCACCCTGCGTCTGTTAGACTAACTTAAGGCTAAAAACCCCGAGTAATTCTCATTGCCAAGCCTTTGCTTCATGAACCATGTCTATGGTAAAACAGACATACTGTCAGCCAACTAGCTCCAGTCTCCGCCTCGTCTATCCTCATTGCATCCCTAATACCAAGTCTATGACTTTCTATGCCCTAATCTCTTGTGCGCCAACCCACAAATGCTGTGATACTGTTTGCTTTTATTAGATTCAATGTTGAACCACAACATTCGTGGGTTGGTACACAAGAGACTAGGGCATAGCAAATCATAGATCTGGTATTAGGGATAGAAAGAGGATAGACGCAGTGGAGACTAGAGCTAATTGGCTGACAGTAGGCCTGTTTTACCAAAGACGTGTTCCATGATGCAATGTCTTGTCCATGAGAATTACTCGGGGACTTTAACCTCAAGTTATTCTCCCAGAGGCAGGTTGTGAGAAATAACGCCTCAAGCAGAAGAGATGGAGTAGCAGGGATCGAGTGAAATACTTGAACCAGGGAGATAGTAGACGGATCCGACGGGGCAGGAGGGAGACTCTGAAAAGACCTAAGGAGGAAGGACTGCGTAACAATATGGCAGACTCTGATCAACATTACCAGCACAAAGGTAAAGGGAGGTGATGGGGTGAGAAAGCCGGCGTGGGGTAGGGAGAGTTATCATGAAAGCTGCTCAAAAAGACACACCATACCACATTAAATAAGCAAGTAAAAATTGTGATAGTGAAGGCGTGATACGAGGATATAGGATTGGTGATTATCCCAGATCGGAAGGATAGATACCACGATTGTTTAGCAGAAAATTTGTCAAAGAATCGTCTTTACATGTCTTTTGGACGAGTTGTCGTGTGGTGTTAAGAATGCTAATGCTTACTGACGATGCCGGCGAAACGTC